AGATTTTTAATCCCACTTAAAACGTTTTCTAAGCGTTCAAGTCGTGCTTGTTCATGGTAGAATTGTCATAAATATAATATAATTCCTAAACATGCATAAAATTTACAAAAAATTTACAAAAAATTGTTCCAAAAAAATCTTTTGAGCAAAAAACGATAAAACCACGTGTTTTATTTACAGTGGACCCTCATTTATCCGGACGCTTTGGTTCCCAATCAATTTGTCCGGATAAATGAAGCATCCGGATATCTGAATCACCAGTTAAACAAGACAAAATAGCATATAAAAATTTCGTTCCGATGTATTTTCTTTTGGGTTTGTATAAATGCTGTTATCTGATTGGTCAGAAAGACTTGCAAATTGTTTATTCTGTGTATTTATAGCATTCACGGTTATCGCTCCTGACTTCCTTATTTGGAAATCGTCCAGACCTGTTAATATAATCATTGGATGAAGAAGAAACGGGATCTCGGCGACATTCACGTGGGGCTCACGAAGGTTATACCCTACAGGTTTGTTGATACATGCTATCATTTCTTGTGTCTCCATGGCTTTCAAAGAAAAAAATCAGTGTAAACTCGACATAAAAATGCACTTATGACATAAAAAAATTATTGCCATTTGAAAAGCAAACTGTATTGGAACTGCAGAAAGATATTTTGTTTGACATTTTGCCGCGATGACGTATGATTTGGTGGATTTTCCTTTCCTGCACCCCAATACACAAAACGTCAACATTTGTACTTATTCATGTTTAATTCGTCTGAATGCAGACTAAAATGTTAAATATTATTAATCTGAGAATTGCTTTTACCTAATATTCCATTATACTTGTAAACTCTACATTGTATGCATGTGTCATTTTAGAATTCACGTGGTACAATTAAACAGATCAAAGTTGTACGACCCTTGGTTTTCCGGCAGATTCTAATTACGTTAATTTTGTATGAGGAGAGAATATTTTTTTTCTTAAAATGCTTACTTCAACTTTTTACCTTATTCCTGAATGATATATTGGGTAAATTTGAATGAAAAAGCACACGATTAGCAGCCGCATTGCCGCTTTAAAACTTGAGGTACTGTGAGCACTAAGCTCACTAAATGATACACCCGCTCCCCATACGATTATCATGGCAAAGTCCATGTTTTTCTCTGGGAAACTCAAAATAAGTGTCCAATCACAAAGTAATATAGGAGGTGCATAATGGCATTATGGATGAAGAATCAAATTTTGAAAGTTTTATAAAATTTTATTCAGTGGTATAGGATGAAATGTGGATAAAAGCTGTGCATCCGAAAAGTGAAACAGACGGACGAACTTACTGACGAAGAAACATCCCGATCACTTTATAGTACCTCTCATTTTTATAATAAATTGATAAAATTACAAGAAAGATTCTTTATGGATAAACTCTACAATCGGTTTACACATACACACAAGGGTTGAGTTCTGATTTTTTTTTCTGTTCTTATGACTGTCACATGTTTATCTATTAAAAGTAGGTTTCATAAGTACACCTGTCGTTAATCAGGAGACCATGTAAGCATGTAAAGTGGGTCACCTGATAAGAAGTGTCAGATATTTTCATTGAGATAACTTCTTCTGTCATTTGATCATATTTACAATACCCGCTCGAAAAACCAGGGGAATATATAGTGATGGGAATGTCTGCCAGTCTGTTCGTCACACTTTAGGGTTCCCATCTCTTATCTGCAATTCCTCATATACCAATAAATGAAATTTAATGATACTTTCATCGAATCTTTGTTACATAGTGCGATTGTGACATCCTATTTTACCTTTTGATCGGACAAATATTTTGAGTTTCCCACTGCAAAACATTGACACCGCCATTCTTTCTATAACATTGAGGGGTATCCATCTCTTCCTTTACCACAAAATAAAAATAAATTATGCTTTTACAGATTCTTTATAACATACTGTCATTGTGCACTTCCTGTTTTACTCTATGATCTGACTCTATTTCGGGTCTCCCAGAGCAAAACTTGGACTGTGCTACTGTGAACATATGGAATATCATTTTGTGAGCTCAGTGCTCTAATTACCTCTATCTAGTTTACTCCTTGTATTAAGAAGGGCACAATTATATAGTTTATTCTTGAGCTTATCTGGATAAATTAAATTACAAGTTGCGTTTTACGTATAATTGTAACCTCCTCCTCGCAAGATTAAAAATAGGTGGAGTTAGGGTTTACAGAAGTCCCAATGTTCGTTTTTAAATTTTTTGTTGATACAAAAATAATTGATTGCTTTTTTAAATTCATCATTCAGTAAGTTCTATGGTCGATACAATTATCTTGTCAGCAAATACAATTCATCATTGCTAACAACGTTTTCATACTAATTGTTAGTCCATCATTTATACACTGAATTGACGACTGATTTTTTTCGTTATTTCCTGATCATAACATGGAGCACACGGCAGGTTTGACCGACCGACAGGGGATACTCATTCCTCCATGGCACCTGATCACCTGTTTTGGAGGTCCTATTTTGCGTTGTTTAATGGACTTTTTGAGCTTGAATACTCTTCGTTATCTCCCTATATTTCATTTCAACCATAATTCATGCAAAAAAAATTTATATAACTGAATTAGGAGCACTTTTACTTTTATCTGAATTGTCATTTTATAAAATCATATTTATGATTATATTTCACATTATATCAAATAAGTAGGTGTTATTTTTTTTAACCAAGCAACCCGGGGTAATTTGGATAAGTCACTGGTTTCAAAATTGTGTACTGGATGGCTAACTGTATGTTACCTCAGGGTATTAAACAATCCTGACTCATGGTCATTTGAATAAGGACAGGGTCATGGATCCCATGAAGTGTGAAATTCTAAGAATTGATTTGAAAGGTCACGCTAGTCTTATCACATGTCCCTCGCCAATGACACAATTTTTTTTAAAAAGTGTTAAAGTTTCATATTATTTTATCTATTTTAGGAAATCAAACCATAGGCTGTTTGGAAAAGGGTTAAGTGGAATGAAAGTTTAGGTCATGATCTTTCTCTAAGAATATGGAAGGTCGTTTCTCGCATTCAGTAGGTTTTGACTTAGGGTGTTGCATCCTTCAACCAATTACAATCCAGAAGATCCAGGACATGAGCAAATGCAGGATAGCAGAGTTCCTCCTCAAGGTAAGTTAATGTGTACATTTAAATGTCAGACTGACCTGCGGGTGACACTAGTTTCATTGGGACAATTCTAATTGTATTTCAATTTATTTTCGATGTAAAGGCAAATTGGCAATAGATTCTGAAATACAGAAAATTCTTAAAACGACAAAGTATGTTAAATAAGGTCGAGTAAGTTTAGCACTAGAACAGCTGTATCGATGGAGATCATTTATCAGGACAAGGTACTTTAACACAACATTTAAGTCAGTTGTCCCACAACGTATGAATTCCCCTTGACCAAAGATAAGACATCCGCCCCGCTCCTAAACTGTCAGATAAGCAGTATAGTAACAGTCCACACCGTGTAACACTAGTGTTCCATCATGAGGTCCCTGTTAGCTCTTCTGTTTGTCTGTGGGACCGCCCTGTCCCACCCTGGTTTCCGGCTCCTTATCCCCAACGGCATTAATGTCCCTAACCCCTGCATTAATGTAGTCGGTTTATGGAATGCAGTTGGACACAACATAGAAATTGGAGGTGGACCAGGAAATGTCTTCGGAGCGGTAATATTTCATTTTATTCATATCCTTTTATTCATTCCTTTTTTAAGTTTACTCTTTCATCGCTTTGAATCATGTCATGAATAGGTCTTGAAAGATACTGTACAATTCTAAACTCAAAGGAAAAGTACTCCAAAAATGATTTTCTAAGATAGTAAAAATAATGAAAACTTAAAACTCCTCTCTACAAATCCATTAATAATCTTTTGCAGTGGTCTATGTTTCAGCTGTAGATAATAAAATATATAAAGTAAAAAAAACCACCAAAATCGTGGAAAGAAGTTGTCAGAGTTTGAATTCTGTAAAAGATGTATTACCTGTATATAAAAAAAAACAATCTACTAAGATACAACAAAGAAGAGCTGGATCGAAAGCATGGTTTCAGTTGTAGTATGATCAACGAATTTGTGATTGTGATTTTCAGGACTTTGTAGCAGCTAATACTCAATGGACCAAGGACTTGTGTCAGAAAGACTCTGACATGGACGGCAAGACAAACGGGGAGGAGCTAGGGGACCCCAACTGTGTGTGGAAGCAGGGGGACGCTCCAGCAGGGGACGCCACTGGACATCCAGGTATGACGTCACTAGTACATTAACTGGTGGACTAACCAAATTAATGGGGAAGATGGGAAAGGGATACAACATATACCCCATTTATACCTTAAATCAGGGGAACTATAGATAATTAAGCACGCCTTATTTCAAAACATATCAAGATAACTTAAGATTTTCGCATTTATTCTATGTCGGTGCTACCTTAATAGCTGCAATTTCTTGAAAAGGATAACTTGAGATTGAAAAGTCTGTAATTTATAGTGTGTTTTTAACATTAAAAAAACTTTTTGCAACTTCAACTACTGATTGTTTTTTCTTCATTGTTCACTTCTGTAGATACCTGAATATTCGTGTATTTAGCTTCACTGTATATAAAGAATTGTAAAAGGATGGCTTTCATTCTCTGTATTTTCAGGTATTTGTGAACCCATGTCTGATGCCAATTGTATGAAGATTAATGCCAACATCACTTGTATATAACATGTCAATTTCTAATTATACATTATGAACATTAGTGCACATTTCATTCAATGATTATTTTGTACTGAATGTGTTATAGTAGTGTATGCAAAATACGTAGAATGTATAATAGTATAGAAAGGTTTAAATAAATGAAAAAAAAAGTTTTATTTTATTTTTAAGGCCACTTGTTTAATTCTGAACATGTGAGCATGTTCTTAATATCAAGATTGCTTAGGCCAATTTTTGAGTTTGGTTATTGATTGTGGGATTTTACAATATGTACATTCGGTGTACACTATAAACAGTCTACATACATGTGACAGGTTAACTAATATGACTTTTGAAGTCGGCTGGCAACCTGATTTATTACGTCCTTATATACTCAAATGTATTTTTAGATGGAATACTGTTATAAACTGAAGTCTGTTATAAAATACAAATAAGGCTTGTTTCATAAAAAAAGCAAGACATCAAAGTACTCGTTCACGAAGTGTAGGGGATCATAGGACACATCATGGCACCTGATCCCTCCTCTGATGTTTTGGAGGTCAGTGTTTGCTCTGCTCCTACATGTATAATGTATTGCTTTATGGCCGGACTTTTGATCTTGAATACTGTTCTCCATATGTTTCACTCAAATACAAAGTGCAGTAACTAAATGTAAGTGATCACGGGACTTAATTACAAAAGGCAAGGCACTATATGGGACTTAATAACGAAGTGCAAGGGATCATAGGACCCAAATGCGGCGTACATGTACAAAGGAATAAATGCAATGAATACGTGATATAATGATAATTTATTGTATAGTTTTAAATATCGTTATGGTGACATTGAAATTCAATTTGCAGATGATTCTTCTCTTTTTTATGATTTTAGGTGAGTTTTTTTTTCGTGCATGCAAGACAGTATTCTAGGAAAACTTGTAAATATTATACTTATTTCAAATCAATCTGAACTTTTATTATGCTTTTTTGAAAGGTCTCAGATCTGATTACTGAACAGGTTTTATTTACACGTACATGTCACTATGAATAGGTTATACATGTATGTAATATATTGCATGCACAATCGTGGTATGCATTGAAAATTTTTCTTAGGTAACAAAAATTTGCAAAAATAATTTTTATGTATTCTTATGCTTATATGCAAGCTCACCGCAGCTAATTTGCAAAAATAATTTTTATGACTGTTTCAAATGACTGATAAATGTTATTTGTTTGAAGAATGTGTGAAATGTTTTATCCTTCACGTTCACCAGTACAGGAATATGGATTGCATATCAATTGTACTTACAAGTGCACTTGTACACAGTATTTGGAGTACATTTTTCATAATTAATCCGCGAAAGTAATATTTTAATATTTCCTACATAGTTCTGTGGCATGTTAACATGCTGACTTAAATAAGGAGCCCGTTATCTTATCCTACATTGTATATTTTAACATACACTTGTGATTAATTAGCGCCTTTCAAACGAATTTGAAGACTGGAACAGTAATTTTATCACCCTTAATACAAAGTACCGATTACTTTTTCTCTTTTCGATATTTATAAGTGCTTTTCATTTTTCCCCTCTTCTACGAGACCAGTGATATTTTCTGGACTGAGGTTGGCTTAAAGCCTTTATAAGTCGAAAGAGTGTACATACTTCAGTTAACGAACGTTGTAAATTAATGATAAGGCGAAATTTTAAGTAATTATTTTTTTAATTATAATGATTAATACTTTCCTTTTTAATAAAGAATCAAAGCATTGATATGAAGAAATTAAAGAAAAAACAAATGAGAACATTAAAAAAAATGAATTAATAATTAATATCAAAGAGTAAATCTTCGTATCACTGATTGTAAGTGCGTTATGTGTTTGGTCAACTTTCCCGATATGAAAGAACAGACATAGTATTATCAATTGTTACCGTTTAGAAAGTCTAAAGGTCGTGGCAATCTGGATTCTACACTGGGACTGAAATGTTGTCAGGAGTACTAACTGTGCTTTTCTTATCTTTCTCTGTGTTTGGACTGCCCGGTTATCGCTTGAAGATACCTAACGGAATCAACGTTCCCAACCCGTGTACCAATGTGTTCGGATTATGGAACGGAGTAGGGCACAATATTGCAAATGGAGGAGGCTCTCTAAATCCGTTTGGCCAGGTAAAATAGAAAATGAAATACTGAAGTACATTAAAAGCTTAAATTCGATGTTTCAACTTAGTCCTAGAAAAAATTAAACTTTAGATTTAAACTTTTAATGTAACCAAACTTTTAAGAATGGCATTTTGCGTATGTTATAGAATTCATGTTGTATAACATCCCTTCAGAAATGTTTCACTTATACCGGCCATGGAAAGTTACACATTTAGACATGCACTCGGTGGCCATTGAGCATCCAACACGTATACTGCGACACGGGACCTCGGTATACGGTCTAATTTGAAGGACCAGTCTCCACGTCCCTCGATGGGATTCAAACCCGCGACTTAAGGATCGAAACAACTCCTTACATCATGACTCCATTGCAAATGTTCCAACCACTAGCGTGTATAATGTATACTATATTCTATATATAGAATATTTAACTAAAGTTTAAAGAATAATATCTGTTGATCATCCATTTTTTATTAACTTAAAGGATTTTATGGACGCTAACTATACCTGGACTCAGGAGCTATGTGGAAAAGACTCGGATTCAGATGGAAAAATCAACGGACTTGAACTCGGAGACTTTAACTGTTCCTGGTTTGAAGGACAGCCTCCCATGGGGGACCCCACAGGACATCCAGGTACAAGTACATAGAATGCGTAAATACTTTACGGGGGTATGGGGGAGGGGGTCAATTGGGGTACCCAGAAATCGCAACAAAACACAGAACATATTTATGCCTGGGACGCACTGGACATCTACCTTACTTTTGTTGAAATGTATCAGACACAAATAATGCTTCTACCTTTTTTCAGAAAGTAGAATGAATCTTTTTGGGGAAGAACCTAAACTTTTTATCATACAGGGCAGGATTTCGCAAAAGTGTGTGTTCATAACATTATACATTTTAAATATTGAGTCTATTACAATTAAACATATTAAGATCATAATAATGATTTCCCCAACTAAGTTATTCATGATCTAAAATGAGAGAAATGCATGCCAAAATGAGGAGCAATGCTGTTGTGAATGTATCTAAAATAATGGAAAGTTTGGCTTTATAATTGTTTCACAAGCGTGAAAGTATTTTCATGATTTATATTTTGGTTATTTTTTTTTATTTAAAAATTAACTGGGGACTGTTCACTTCTATACGTTGTTATGGGTCAGAATTACCCGAAATGCCAGCAAAGATCAATAACACAATTTAAACTTAACAATAATTTATTTACAGTAATATATAATAAATATATCAAACATAAAGTACAAACTTAGCAAGAATTTAAAAATACATACATCAGAGTGTCCGTTGCTGCACACAATGTCCCAGTGAAAATATATCCCATTTATATCTATATAATAGTATATATAATAGTGCTTATACGACAAAGTATATATATGCATCGAATTGACAGGGTATTTATATAGTATCATAAATCTAGAATATTCTAGAAATTATTAAAACATGATATTACTGGATCAATCTGGACATACACAAAATTTAAGAATGTTCTAGATCAAATGACCGAACATGTTGACCACTCTGGAATGTTCAAGAAACTTAATGTTACTAATAATATACATGAAACAATACAAATACAACACAACTCACAACACCTCCCCCCTTAAAAAGTTTGAATGTCAATGAAAACTTATATTGTTAAAGTAAAATATATGTACATTAATACAAATCTAATTTGTTCATGATACTCTGGACAAGGCATCTGCAATAACATTGTCTTTGCCTTTGATATGCTTAATTGTTATGTTGTATTCTTGTAACAACAAACTCCATCTAGTCAGTCTTTGATTCTTGTTTGACAATTTGTGCAAAAATGTCAGGGGGTTGTGATCTGTATATACAAGAATTGGATGCAAAGTAACATTCAGATAAACATCAAAATGCTGTAAGTAGGGGTGGGACGATACACACATCTTGCAATACGATACGTATCTCGATATATTGGCACGATACGATACGTATCTCGATATTATGATAAATTATAAAACTATTCCAAATAAGAAGTATTTTATTTTTTTGTCCAGACATTAATTCAACAAATTATTCTACATCAAATCATGTTAACTTTGGTTTGAAATTAAAACTTGAAGTTCATCAATTTCATTGACTAAAACTGTACAAAACAATGATACATGTACATACTATTATTACTATTCAGAGTTTGTTCACAAATGGTTGTGTATTTCATCAGAGAACACGGACTAAAAATTCATTTAAAAACATCGATCATATTTACATTATTATTAAATCATTGCTGAAAGTGTGTCGCCAAGTTGAGATTACAAAAAAAGCACGAGATAGATTAACAATTTATAATATCAAATGTTCTGGAAACGATATTTTCTGTGTATAGAACGCATTTCATACTGAACTTTTCTTGTCCAATCTCCCGAGCCTGCTTAAAAGTGAAAACGTTTTACCCCTAATCAACGACTTATTAGTTCTAAAGTGCGTCTTCAATATCAAAATAATCTCTTCACTTCGTACAAGCCGCCATTTTCAAAGGACAGGTACTTTCATTTTAAATTTTTGGATGGGTCCTTCGTGTATCGTTTCGTACCGATATGTGAGTGCTTGTATCGTAAACCGCATCTTGCAGGAAAATATCGGTATGTATCGGTGTATCGGTATATCGTCCCACCCCTAGCTGTAAGGCTAACAACAAAGCAAGGCATTCCTTTTCAATGGTGGAATACTTTTGTTGACATTTTGTAAGTTTCTTTGAAAAATAAGAAACAACTCTATCTACCTTGTCACTATCCCAGGTAGCACAAAACATTTTCAAAACATTTTATTAGTGTTGTAAAAAGGTTTTTTTGAAACATTTCAGACTAAACATTTTAAAAATATTTTTAAAACATTTCCTCTTCTCATTATAACATTTTAAAAACATTTTTAAAATGTTTTTAAGAAGCTTATGATAAAATCCTTTTGGAACGTTTTTCTAAAATGTTTTTGAAACGTTTTA